TATCTATCTAGTTGTTGTTGTTTATAGATGCCATTGAGTTAAGTATGACTCATAGTAACTCAGTGAACAACTGACCTGAACCATGCCCTATCTTGTGACATCCTCATTATCTCTGACACACTAGAGCCTATTGCTGAAGTCACCATGTCAATCCATCTCATCAACAGTGTGCTCTCTTTCCAAGGAATAGCCTTGCCTAGTTATATGTCCAAAATATACAAGATGAAGCGTCACCATCTTTGCCTCCAAGGAGCACTCTGGCTGCACCCTTTCTAAGACATATCTGTTTAGGCAGTCCATGGGATATTCAGTACTCTTCTCAAACATAACAACTCAAATTCTTCTGCCATCGTTATTTATTTTCTAGCTCCTTGATGTGTAGAAGGTGATTGAGAAGATCCTGGCCTGAATCAGGTGCACCTTAGTCTTCAAACTGACATCCTTGTTCGTCATCATTTTTGAGAGGTCCCTGACAGTAGACCTGCTCAGTAAAATACAGCTCCTGATTTCCGAACTGCTGGTTCCAAGGGTATTTATTACAGATACAAATAAGACGATATCATTGGCAGCTTCAATTCTTTCTCCATCTATCGTAATGTTGACTGTTGGTCGCGTTGTAAGGACTGTTGTTTTCTTGATGTTGACATGTAATCCATACTATAGGCTGTAATGCTTGATCTCCTGAAGCAAGTGTTTCATATCCTTTTCATTTCCAGCAAGCAAAGCTGTGTCATCAGCACAATGCAGTTTGTTAATGAATCTTCCCCCAATTCCAATACCAGTCTTCTTCGTAGAGTTTGGCTTCATGAATTAATGTTCCATTTGGTTTTCTATCTGAAGTTACAAATGCCCAAATGTCAATCACCTTCTTGGTGGTGAAAGGGATATATCAAGGTGAGGGCAGAGTAGAAAAGTCATATTTTAATCTAGTAAGAGCCAAAGGAAACACTTCACAGAATTGAGGACGTTTTAGAGAGGAACTACTTTTATCATAGTGTAGAGATTGATAATCCCTGGTAAATTTCTAATCTCTCCATATCATTTGTCTTCCAGAGTAAGAGTGTTTGAATATTATGTTTCCTTCATGAGTACAATTATTCACAGACTACATAGAGCACACTGCCTTAAAATATGCCCTCATTACACAAATAATATAACTATATCAGGAGTAATAGTTTGCCACACTCCCCATCAGAATCACACCAGTCATCAAAATCAGATCATCTGCACAAAAGAACTCATAACTTTCTTATGGCACTGAAATATCTCAAGAGGCATTTATTCATTCATGAAATTAGCTATTTATTTAATAAATATTGTTTGTAGGCTACTCTGAAATGTCAGACACTGCAGATACAAAGGACAGCAAGGATAAGCCTCTACTGTAGAATCTTCTAGAACATTGTACAAGGAAAGAAAGGGCAAAAAAGAAAGGACATCTCAATGAGTGGAAGATCCTTAAAAAATTGGATTGCAGGGTCAACTATGAGTTGGTAGGGACTCAGTGGCACACAACACCATCACTTACAGCTATGAATTCTTTTGAGTTAATGATAAGCAGATGCATTGCCAATATAAATGGCACGTGGTAAGAAAACCCTAGATACTACATCAAGGAAGGATGGACAATTGTCTTGCGTGCCATTTACAACCTCTGAAAACCCTCTAGATGCTCAATTGGGGGTTCATTCTGAGTCAATGGCACATAACAATGACAAATATCCCAATTTTACAGCTTCAGCAATTGTTCTTGAATTTTAGGAAATCTTTCGGTTTATTCATTATCTTACCTTTTTTTTTCTTGCTGCCTGCAATAGATTTAGTTCCCTGATTAAACCCATTGTCAAGCTGTCTCTGATGTTGAAAATGATCATATTCTATGTGTGTTCCTCATCTCTCTTTTTCAGGCTAGTGTAAAGTACAATTAAGCTACAATTTCCAATGAAAAGTATCATTTAATTAAATAGTTTACATTAAAAATTATGTCATGAACCTAAAATTAATAAACTGTGATCCTATGTCAGGTTTTCAAAGGCATTTAATTGCATAGGAAGAAATTGCCCCTCCTTCTCCTGTGAAATAGCTGATGATGTCGAACTCCGTGCCTTGGGGATTGTAGCACAGCTTCTTGCCACTAGGCCACCACAGCTCTCTAAAAAAAAAGTTAATAAGCTGTGACATACTAAGTTTGAGTTTTTATCACAAATAAAATAACTATTTACCTTGAAAAAAAAAGTTGGATTGACACAGTGATTGTAGCAATGGATGTGAGCATGTTGAAGATATGAGGGAGGCACAGGATAGGGCAAGCCTCTCATCTGTTGCTCATAGCGTCAATGCGAGCCTTAGTGGACTCCAAATCACATAACAACAATCACATGCCTGTGAAACAGGGACCAGATGCTGTTTCTAAGGCAACCTAGGGTGATTGTAATTAATCTATAACTTTCTGGACACCTAATCCCAGGAAAAGCCCTATTCCATAGAACTTGCTACTGTGGCACCCTTTGATACTATGTTTACAGAGTGTCTGAGGAGGCCTTGTGGCATAGTGTGAAATGTGTCTGGCTCCTCATTGAAAGATCTTCAGTTTGAATCCAGCAGTGACTCTGCAGGAGAAAGATGGGCAGTCTTTTGTAAAGATTTTATGCTTTATGTGCACAGGTTATTGTGAACTAGAAACCGCTCAGCAAGAGTGGGCTTTATTATAATTAGGATGTTTCTAATTAGGGAAGAGAAGTGCTCAAAGCCCAGTTTTACTAGTAACAACACAAATGAAACAAAAATGTTTTTCTTCAGAAAAAGGGCAGGAATGCCAAAGATGTCAAAGATATCCAAAGATAAGTATGATTCTGAATGGATAGAGGCCAGCTGTGAGGTAAGCAGTGGTTGACAATGGAGTGGCAGCACTGAGATGGCTATTTAGCAAGAATGAGCTTTACTCTTAAGACTTCTGGTATTTCCCTTTGGGTGGAGACTAAGAAAAAAGAGAGATGGGGGTTGGGGGTGCACCAAAGTTTTCTCACAATATTTTGCAACTTCTGCTTCCGCACTCAGAATCCCAGAAGTAGCAAGAGAAATGAAAGGGGGGAAAAGAAACAAATTCTTTTCACTCAGAAAACTAATTGTACTTAACTCTACTATGTTTGATATGTTAGTGACAATTGTGATGAATCTCCTTTTATTTAAGACTAAAAAAAAAAGGCTTCTTTTAACACATTGTATCCTTTATCTTAGCTAGAGACAAAGATTCATTGTGTAAGTTGAGTGAAAACAGAGAGAAGATATATATTTTTCAAAGGGGAAAATATCTAAGGCACCAATAATCTGGTCACAGGATTTTGTAAAGAATAACCTATTTTCTTGAACACAGCAAACCTAGAAAATTGTGATATTCTGAAAAAAATTATCCTCTCAATACTGTGATTAGCAAAAAACTCACCTAACTTTTCCTGCTGTGTTAATCAAATGCTTTGAAGTCAATATAAATTTTTAATTACTTAAAGGTTAGAGTAGATGTTTAATTTAGATGTACATACACCCAAATTATGTGCAATGGGAAGTTCTTACATCCATCCTAAAATAAGATTAAAATGTTCTATAAAGCAAGAAATGTATCTTCCATTTTGATTGTTTTGTTTTTCATTATTATTTTTCAGACATTTAGTTCATTTAGTCATTTCGTCTCCTTGGCTAATACATTTCACCATTACTCCCTGATGGCAGTCTGCCTAGTTAACAACTTCTAGTCACAGGATGTGGCTACCTCAATTTTATCTCCATCTGGCAGAACATAATTAACCTATTTGAGTGGCTATGGATTTAGGCTCTCTCTTTATAGCAAACAAATTTTCTCTGCCTCCACCTCACTGCCTGCACTGCACTCAGAAAACCACAAGTCAGTAAACTTCCTAGGGGAAGTTGGAGCATTGCATGACAAATAAATGCAACCTGCCGTGTGCTAGATGTGAGTCCCACCTAAGCTTTGGTCTGCCATCAGTTACCAGTATATCTTTCCAATGGTCCTCGGACACCCAGGATATAAAAAATAAAATAAAATTTAAAAAATCCATTGTCATACTGCAACTTATCATCAAGACCTCATGCATATGAGAACTGTTATGGCAGAGGGTTTCCAAACATGGATTAGCAAAACTTTCTTGAGGTTCTTGTATGTAGAATCACATTCTTTCATTTAGTAGCCTATAACTTAACCATTTGAACACCAAAGACTTCCCTTATCCTACCTAAACTTACCACCATTGCACCAATTCCTACTCCTGGTGACCCTCCATCAGGTTTCCAGGTGGTAAATCATAACTGCCCATCCTTCACTCAAGAGCAGTTGTTGGGTTTGAACTGTTTGCCTTTCAGTTAAGCAGCCCAGCACCTAACCTACTACACCATTAGGCCCTCATTGTACATTGACAAATATCTGGTTTGAAAGAAATGAAATATAGATTACATGGGGTAAAAAAAATAAGTCAATAGATTTTAACATTGGAAAAAATTATGACAGTAAGTGCTTCTATGCACGATAAATGAAAAATACATCTGTCACTCTTCATTATGACACAATTTTTTTTCTATCTATATATAGAACTTCCAAAGTATACCTATCCAAAGACACGTCACCATCTTGTTCTCAGGGAGAATTGTGCTGCTTATAGTCCTGGATTCCTATTTCCTTACATTTCTCTCTTTTCTTAAAATATACATTGTGCTGTATAAACTACTTATCTTGAGTTTTTTTGCAATTGCAGTGTTATGGTGTTTTCTCCTGTGATCGATCTCAGTGGCGAGGTATTTTTGGTTGTCACAAAGTGGTAGGGGAGGAACTGCTATCCAGCCACAGTTGTCAGTAGTCAGTTTTGCTGAGTTAGATGACAACTCAAATACCTCATTGCCATGGACTCAGAACCAACTCAGCTGAGCCTCCAGTGGACTTTGAGAGACTGCATATTGAGTGGGAGGAGACTCTGCATCTTTCTGCTGAGGACCAGTTGGTGCCTTCAAACTGCCTGCCTTTGGGTTGGCAGGGCCCCATCTTACCACTAGGTCACCAGAGCTCCCTTCAGAGTTAGCTGTAGAGATAGATTTATATATTCAAAGAGAAATGTTGTTGTTGTTGTTATGTGCCGTCGAGTCGCCTGCGACTCATAGCGACCCTATGGACAACAGCCCTAAACTCCGCTCTGTCCTGTGCCAATCGCACTGTCTCTGACACTCCCATCCCAATTATCCCAGTCACTGAATCAATCCACCTCATAGA